AGCAAAGGGTCTGAATACTTATGACCATGTGATATTTCAGTTTTTCTTTTTTAATAAATCTGCAAAAATGTCAAATTCTGTGTTTTTCTGTCAATATGGGGTGCTGTGTGTACATTAATGAGGAAAAAAATGAACTTAAATGATTTTAGCATATGGCTGCAATATAACAAAGAGTGAAAAATTTAAGGGGGTCTGAATACTTTCCGTACCCACTGTACATGCAATTGCGTGTGTGTACATATATGTGAGTACATGCACAGATACACATGTACCCCTCTCTTGAGGCTGCGCAGACACTGCTTCCTGGTTCTGGAGCCAGAGGTCATGAGGTCATTCAGCCGCTGTGTGATTGGTTCTTTGGAGGCAGGCGGTGGGGACTGGGGACTGTTGGTCACACCTCCAGGTGAAGGCGAGGTCGGGGGTGGAGGCGGCGGTTGCCGGGGGGAGGAGAGGAGGGTCAACAGCTGGAGGGAGTGAGAGAGAGGCAGAGAGAGGTATGGTCAGTACAGGTGTGATTGTGCCTGTGTTCACACAGGTGTGTATTTGTGTACCTTGTTTTTACGTATGAAGGGCCACAGCTTCCTGCTGTGTCTCCGCCCCTCAGTCCGGTTGTCAAGGTAACTGGACTCAGAGATGCTTCGCCTCATGGTGGTGCTGTAGTCCTCAAACTCTACATCACCTGGAGGGTCAAAGCCCGATTTATACACCTCCACCACCTGACGGGTGTCCTGCGCACACATCCAACACACACACCAACACACACACACACACACACACACACACACACACAAGATAGATCACATGTGACCTCTGACCTCCTCAGTCTCACCTACAAAAGATAAAACAACCTTGTTCGACTGACAAGTAGGCAGCACAATGTTTCATGGTCTTCCTCACCAGGTGCTCTGTTGTCATGGTAACCTGCTCTCTTTCTAAGGATGATGTCTTATCCACTGAGGAACAAGGTCAAAAGCACCTTGACCTTGTTTTGTCAAATAAGAACTTTGATGTTTAAGCTTTCACTTGGTTTATGTCGAACTGTTACTGTAGTATAATGGGAGTAAAAAGAGAGCAGTTTTGCGTCTCAGCCATCACAAGACACCAGAACGGATCGATGACTGCAATTTTCACATTGTTCAGCGGCATCCTCCTAAACTTACAGAGTGGAATCCCACTGTGATGTCGCCAGGATTCCACATCACAAAGGCAGTACACTGACAACTTCTGTCACCTGGCGAGACGCTGTGCTGGCAAATCAAATAAATACATGCACACATTCTTGATAGAGTAGCGTTTGTAATGTATAGACTGTCTTTCTGGTGATCATCACAGTCAAAGATACAAATATTGCCACCATATTAATTTGCTAGTGTTGTAAAATCCTGTCTTCAAGTAATAAAACCCCCCTGTACATGGGTTCCGTTGGGGCTCCTGCTAAAATACCACACAACCTGGTGATCATCACAGTCAAAGATACAAATATTGCCACCATATTAATTTGCTAGTGTTGTAAAATCCTGTCTTCAAGTAATAAAACCCCCCTGTAAATGGGTTCCGTTGGGGCTCCTGCTAAAATACCACACAACCTGAACCAATACTACACTAACCCCATTCGTAGTTTTACAGCAGGATGACTTTGTGAGTGAACCCCTGGATGGACAGACTCCTGTAGACCTCCAGAGTCTGTCAGGATGAAGAGCTGTGTCCAGTGTTCCACAACAGGATGGAAACTCTGGAGGATCAAAAAGGACCGTTTGGCACTTGATATAAAAAGCTTCATGAAGGGAATTTAAGAAGTGTGGTTGCTGGTCTTTTTTATGATAGAAATCAGCAGTTTAAAGGAACTTTTTCTTCTCAACCTACCACCAAAGCCCCTCCCAGAATGACACCAGGTTTCAGCTGGGAAGAGACTCACCATTCGGGGCTGGATGCTCTCAGCAGCATCCATCATGGCATCCAGAGAGCGTTTCACAACAGGAAGAACCTTTCTCTCGGCTTCCGCTGACAAACGCATCGCCTCCCCAATTCTCTCGATCCGCCGTTCCTCCATGTCCTGGATGCGCTATAAAATACAGAAACATATTAATACACTCTACTGAAGGAAAGGCTGCTATTTTGATACTCTTAGATCTTTCAGCTGCTTTTGACACAGTGGACCAATGTATTTTGTTGTCCCGTCTGCAGCAGTCTGTAGCACTTCATGGTGTTGTTCTTATATGTTTTGAATTATATTTGTCTGATAGGACTTTTTCTGTACACATTGATGAGTTCTCCACTTCTGTTGTTCCTCTGAACTGTGGTGTTCCTCAGGGATCCATCCTTGGGACAGTCCTCTTTTCTTTGTATTTACTTCTGCTTGGATTGATTTTCATGAAATATGGGTTGTCTTTTCACTGTTACGCAGATGATATTCAAATCTATTTGCTGTCGAATGTCAAGAAGAGCAACTCATTACAGACCCTGATTTATTGCCTGAGGGACATTAAAACATGGTTATCACATAACTTCTTACATATTAATTAAAGTAAGACAGAATGTGTTTTAATTGGTAACTCAGATTTTGTTAATCCTTTTATTCTCAGCCCATTGGCCCCTTATTTAAGGCCTTGTGAAGAATCTTGGGATGGTATTTGATAGTGCTCTTAAGCTGGATCAACAGATCAAATCTGTGGTCAAGACCAGCTTTTTTCAGTTGAGACTACTGGATATGGTTAAACACTTTCTTTCTGTTAGTGTTTTTGAAAAGGCAATTCATGCCTTTATTAGCTCAAGACTAGATTATTGTAACATACTGTATACTGGCATTTCTCAAGCTTCATTATCTCGGCTCCAGTTGGTCCAAAATGCAGCTTGTCTTCTGACTAATACACAGCATCATGAGCATATAACTCCAGTTCTTGCCTCACTCCATTGGCTTCCTGTTTATTTTAAGATCGATTTTAAATTGATGTTTGTTTATAAGGCTGTGCATGATCTAGGCTAGGCTCTGAAATGGAGGGGGTGGTAGTGGGGTTCTAGCTTCAGCTGTTGCTTGCACCACTTGTTCTTCCAGGTCTTCTTTGGTCTGGGTTGTATTGTGTAGTTAGTCGATCTCAAGCTGTGAGAGCAGCTGCCTCTTCACTGTGTTGAAGCATTGGGTAACTAGTTATTTCTCAGTTACAGAGGATGCAGGTTTTCTGTACATCCATAGTTCCCTCATACATTTCATATACGTACCCCTCTCATTAGGTCCACTATAGCAGTAACAGTCCATCAGGTTCTCATCTCCTGTCCAGCAGCTGACCTGTCGTCACATTGTCCTGGTGTCATAACACTGCTCCAGGCACTGAACGAGTGACGTTATGTCACAAACTCACTTCTCTCCCCAAAGCTGGTATATAACTGGTACCGGCACCAGGTGCTGCTGGTTTACATGGTATATAACTGGAGTGTAAAAGTGTAAGTTTACCTGGTATATAACTGGCACCAGCGTGTGGTAGTGCTGGTGCTGGTCCTGGTTAAACTGGTTTAAGCTGGTCACATATTCTTTTCTAGACTCTTCAGCTGCTTGTTTTTTCTGCTGAGCTGTCTGTCGAGCCTAAAAAAAGCAGACCGATAAAATTGTGTGATACAACAGATGGACCCACAGCTCTCCAGCTCATTTACATTTAAAATAAAGGTAAAAACAGAAATATACTGTAGAAATATAAGAACCAGCCTATGGCTGCAGTGGGAGTCCGTTCAGCAATACATAGCTCCAGCAGTAACTCCCTCTGAATCCACAAACTGGGTTTTTCACACTTCTGTTGGTGTTTGGATTAAACACAAGACATAATGAGTGAGTCAGTGAGCTGCAGGGACGTTGTCAGAACCAGCAAACAGCAGGTTCTCCCTCTGTCCAGTCGTCACCTAGTTTAGTTTTTTTTATCCATTCAACATTTATTTACACAGGGCAGAGCTATTTCACTCTTTTTGAATGAGCACCTTGTTTACACAAGATAAAACACAATTTCACAAACAAAACCAATATTTGACATTAAAATGTAAGCAAAACTATAAATTCAGATGACAAGAGTCATAAAACCATGACATGTCAAACTAGAGGTACCTGACAAATACATCACACAATAACAATACAGAGACTCGGTTAAAACTCTAAACCAGACACCAGCCGGTCCGTTTTCAGAGCCCGCTATAACCTGTTCCATCAGAGAGCAGCAAAGCTTTTAAAGGCCTGGTTTCCAAGCTCGGTTCTGTATTAGGGGCTTCGAGTACAAGGCTTTTGTGAGATTTAGTAGAACGAGAAGTCTGAGTTTCAGGAGTGATGTTAAGTATGATTGTACATAAATAAACACTAAGGAGTAAATATGGAGATGGACCTTACCTTTAGTGAGCAGCGCTGAGAGGCAGGCAGACAGACAGACAGTAGTTCAGATTAGTTCCATATCATCGGTAATGTTGGATTAAAACATGTTGCTTATATTGACTTGTATCAGCTGTTGCATTCATGCTCTACAGTCACTGGCTCAGTCAACCAGATGACTAGTAATTTCCAATCATTACGCTAAACGTACCTGACACCGTTACTCCCCTCATACATTATATACCCCTACCCAAGCCTGTGATGTGATTTATGTTTTGTTTTGATTAAATTATCATTTTTGTAAAATGAGATTATTTCTTCAGACAAACTTCAGTTTGAAGTATTCCCTTGTTGTGACGTAACATTCTGTTTCCGGGTCCAAACTTCGGTTTGTTCTCTTCCTCTCCATATGCCACAGTGTTGTTTTCCCCATTGTTTCAATTGATCCGAATCAAAAATCACAGGTCAACTGTGATTTTACCACTTTCCTTGCAATGAGAACAGTTGATTGCATAAGTCACAGTATTCTTAAATTAATAAAAAATAAAGCTTCTAAAAGTGCTGCCTTGTAATGTAACACTAGCTAGTTAGCATAAAGTTCATGTAAACACTATATTGACACATTTTACACTAATGGAAGTAACAGTAAAAACTGGGAACTATTAAAAACGAGGTAGACATATAACTCGTGTTAGGTATTTTTTTAGTCAGATAGATATTGGTTAGATACTTGTTGTATTAGAAATGTTTAGTGGAGACAGGATGTCTAGTTTAAACGCTTAGTCATTGTCATGAGATTTTAGCAGGGTGTACGTGGGCAAGGATAGCTAGATAGAAAAGTTTGATTGTCAGCAGGCAGGATGATTATTGTTATTATTATTATGATATGTTTAGCCGTAATCTTAATCATAATATCGTCCTAGGCTTAATGTCCGGACATGTCCCTGAATGTCCTGTATGTTCTTAGATACACACCACTTAATCAACATTCACATGCATTTATTCTCCATGTTTTGACTACTGCTACGGTCAGCTGTAAAGCTGGCATATCAGGTGATGTCACAGTTTGACGTCGCTGTGTAGAATGGGGTTAGCCCAAACCAGATATAATGTACAGGCCTGTTGGGTTCGGGGCTTTCATTCTTCATCTGCCTGCACGCAGTATTGGAGGTGGAAGATACCTGGACATGTAATGTTAATTTTGCCTGTGATCCTTTGAATAAACCAGCACGGTTTTTTGTATCCACTTGGACCCCCTCGTCTCTCTGAGTTCCTGGTTAAGAGAATTGGGAAAAATAGCTTGCACTCGATATACGTACATATATAGCTAAACTATATATTGAATTTAAAGCTACATGATCGAATCTATAGAATGTAGTCATGTTATTACTCTCAGTGAAGCCTCCCTAAAGAAATCTAACACTGGGTTAGAGGCGGGGTCCACCCTGGACTGGTCACCAGTCTGTCACAGGGCTGACATGTAGACAAACAACCGCGCTCACTCCTACGAGAAGTTTAGAGTCACCAGTCAACCTAAGCTTTGGACTGTGGGAGGAAGCCGGAGCACTGGAGAGAACCCATGGCGGCACAGGGAGAACACGCAGACCACACATAAAGGCCCTGGGTTGGCTTCTTGCTGTGAGGCAAAAGCGCTAACCACTGCACCATTATGCCACCCTCACTAAAGAAATAAAAGACGGTATTGTGTAGATGGTGACAGGCTCCGCCATTTGGATCTGGGAGAGTTTGGACCCGGAGGTGGAATGTTGCGTCACAGGCAAATACAAATACTGTACCAACACTGTCCAGAAAACTCCGTCAGCATGTTTATATTCATTTTTATAGTTATAGAACCTTCTCTCCATCCGTCTTGTTGTCAAGGTCGACTCTGTCGGAGACGTGTTGAGCTCGCTCAGCCTCCTTACAGTCACGCTCAAACCGGCGTTTACTCTGAACAACAACAGCAACAATAAAAACAAAAACAAGTCAATAAAAACATCACTGCAGTGCTACTGTCAGTTACTGCTACATTTGAACAAACAGTCAACAAAGTGTGACCAAATCTATTTTTCTTAGTTTTTAAATTCTACATGGTCAAATATTAAATCTGGGATCAGAGGTTATGCGGGGGAATGGGTGGGGCCAGGTGTGGATGTGGGCGGGGCTGTGGTCACTCACAGACTCCAGCTGTTTCCAGGAGCTCTCAATGTGCTGCTGGGCACGGCGGCCATCTTGGAAATGCTGCAACAATAGTACAAACTCATTTGAAAAAAATCAACTGGACTAGATTTCCAGGTCGAAGACGTTTCACCTCTCATCCAAGAGGCTTCATCAGTTCTGACTGACTGGTGTTGAGCCAGAGATATTTATCCCCCTTGTTAGAAATTAATAAATCAGTGAGATAATTGCTAGACTTTAATGTGTTATTAATGCAGTTTAGTAAGATTCAAAGTCTGCTCTAGTCTACTGTTTCAAGGTTAGCAGTAAGCCATGACACCAATTGTTTTCTTGTATTAATCTTGTGTTAG